GTAAAAATAGGAATCCAAACTTAACATACTTTTAATTCTTCGAAAGAGAAAAAATGATCATTTTCTTCTAAAAAACCTTCCGCCACAAAATATAGTTCCTCACTTAATGCTTTTGGTATGGAATTTAATCATGGAGTTTTAACTGAATATAGTTAAATTGGCATTGTAGAATATAAATTTATTGTAAGAATTAAAACATTATGCAGAATTTTTGAAATATAGGTTAAGATAAGAATCTGCTCAAAAGCTCAGGAGCGAACCTCGTTAAAACATTTTTTTTAATTCCTTAGTTTGAATTATTCAGTGAGTTTGTTATTCATTGTAATTTAGTTTTCTTTTTCAAATTTAATAGTAATGTTAGGTTTCGGTATAAATAACAGTCTGTACATCTACGCAGAATCGTGTAGATTTAGCAATGATATTACCCAAGCTCAATTAACTTCTCAAAGACGCCGAAGGGGCTTGGGATTCACCTACAAACACAGTCTATAGAATTAATTAGCAGCATGCAGTCAAAACATGGGTGTGAAAGGTGTGAAACTTTGACGACGTCGAGGTACCTGGAGTCGTCCGTGCGTGACGAGCGACCCAATCTGACAAACAGTTAGGTTCAGTAGAGCAGAAAATTGCCAATCTCGACATATATGAGGTAAATTTGCTCTTGGGACTGTGAATATACGTCGAGATAACCCGGGTTGTCGACATTACTGAGGTCGACATATCAGAGTTTCTGCAAATCATTTATATAGTAAATACTGCCGGGACCGCAGAAGGATGTCGACATATCCCAGGTTGTCGACATATCTGATGTCGAGATACCGAAGTTTACCTGTATATAGACATGAAGTACAGTCAAACCTCATTATCTCCAACTTGATGGGACCAAGAAAAAATTTTCAATATTTTGAGGACTCATGATATTGGGGGTAAATACATCAAGGAAAAGTGGTTGGGACTGCCAAATGACTTGACATACTCATGGTATTCAAGATATTGGTGTTCAAGACTCCAAAGTTCAACTGCTGGACATGACAGATTGAGGAACTAGAAATGAAATAATGAGGAACTAGACATGACAGAATGAGGAACTACATATGACAGAATGAGGAAATTAAGACAGGACATAACGAGGCAATGGACAGGCAATATTTAGAAAATGGAATTGACATAATAAGGAACTGGGGATAACATAATAAGGAACTTGACATGACATAATGAGGAACTTGACATGGCATTAGGAAGAACTGAAAATGAAATAATGAGGAACTAGACTTGAAATAATTATGAACTGGACATGACAGAATGAAGAAAAAGACATGAAATAATAAGGAACTGGGTATGACAGAATTAGGAACTATACAAGACAGAATGAGGAACTAGAAGGCAATAATAACTAGGAAATGGAAATGACAACCAAAAAAATGATGAGGAAATAGACATGGCATAATAAGGAACTGGACATGGCATAATAAGGAACTTGACATGAAATAATGAGGAATTAGACATGAAAAATGTGGAACTAGACTTTACATAATGAGGAACTGGACATGACATAATGAGGAACTAGACATGACAAAGTGAGGAACTAGACATAATAAGGAACTGGACATGGAATAATGAGAAACTGGACATGACAGAAAGATGAACTGGACATGGAACTGGACATAAAATAATGAGGATTTTTTTAAAAAGCAGTTTTGGATGTTTCACAAGCTCCCCATTCCCAAGTTTTATTGTGGCCTGCATACCATATTTCTTGGTAGATAAATTTTTATATACATTTATGATTTACTCTAGAGGTAAAATGAAGATACAGCTTTATTTATATCAATTTCCATAGTCATTTATCAAATGTCAGCTTTTCTCTGTATTATATAGAGAGGATAGTTGGAAACATGAAATTCTTTTAGTAATTTGTCCCAACTCTTTCCAGAGTTAGAATGTATTGGACAGTTAAGGTTACTGCTAGTCTTAGTTAAGTAATCTATAAATATAATGAATGCTTACCTTTTATAACTTTGCACCAATATCTTCTTAATTGACACCTCATCAACCTGTATCATAGTCAAACTTGTTTAGTCATGGTATTTTCTGTAACAGGGAGGGCAGTCTTTCAAAAGTGATTTTATTTCTGTTAAAAAATGCATATTAAGCATTATTTTATATTGATGAAATAAAGTGAATTTTTAACATTAAGTTTCACGGGAAATGTTTATGAAAATTGGTTGCTGGCACACCTTTACAAAAAAATGTAATTGTTCAATGGTAATAAAAAATTATTTAGACATAATTAAGACACTTTCCTGACCAAGTTACCACTTTTTAATGAACATTTAATGCATATATACAAAAGATATTTAATTCAATGAAAGAAGTGTAAGGAAAAAGTGATTTATGAGCCATCCCCTTAAAAGATAGTGACAGAAGATGTCAGTCAATTGATGTTTTTATCTTAAGTAAGTGAACATATGAATAACAAGGCAAGAAAGTATTTAGTTGAAAGAGATTTATTTGTAACAATTTTGTTCAAAATGAAACAGAAAATGAAACAAAATCTCACACTTTTTGACTAGTGTTTTGTATTCTAGTCAATAGAACCAATGGTTTTATAATGTAAAAGAATTGTGATTTGTCAGGATTGTACGTGAAAAAATGTGAAGCAGATGAATGAGAAGCACTCCCTTGTTTTCAACCAAACACCACATATGGAAAAATGATCTTCCAATTTACATGCAGGACATGTTCAAGTGATTTAGAATGACAGACTGCAAACACTCATTAGTATTCAAGAGCAGAGCTTACAACAGATTTGATTCAAGTCGTACAAGCAAACTCCTTGAAGTGTTTTGGGTTGAACCTTTGCTTTCAATTAAAAAAAAATCAGCATTCATTGTTTTTTTGCAATAAAAGTATAGTTTTCTAAAAACTGCATTTTTTGGTAAAATTAGAGTAGTAGCTATAGAAGTATTTTACATTCAAAAAGGATTTTTAATAACATCATAATTCAAAGTCTGAAATAAGAATGAACACACATTTAGTTAACTGGTGCAAAAATGTTAATATTCAGGTAAATGAAGTGGTTTCTAAGTGAAAAGTGTAATTGATATTTTTAATTTACATAAAATCATTTTGAAATAACCTTTTTTGAGGAATTTCAAAATTCTGGACATGCTTTGCTCTGATTCTTAAAGTCAACACTTGGATTGCTAAATAGATTTAAAACTTTTTTTAGAATCTGCCATTCTTAGGTTGCTTTATCTTAATTAAAAACTGGTAATAAAATGTAATTCATCTTCAATTATGTGTTTTCTACATAGCTATTGAAAAACTTTCGGTAGCGAAGAGTAACTATGTGCCTCTTTCACGGCAGAAGAGAAAGTTATTTTTATACCAAAGAAATTACATCAGTTGCACAGGTTGCAGTACAAACTCAAATACAAATAAACTGCAATAAAATGTAAACAAAAGTATATTGTAAGATAATCATTCCATGCAGGCACCCATGATAAGAAAGCAGCCAGGTGTAAGGAATGCAAAGGGTATACCCCAGTGCTAAAAAAAAAAGTGAGACAGCAAAAAAAAATGGTGTATGCCTATTTACAAGTCGTGTTCAACTTTAAACTTTGACCTTGATTTAACTATTGTCTAAATGAAAAATGTCTCTGTTGAAGATGACCATTTATTTAGCTTCCAATGACACTCACAAATAAAAGAAGACATTTACTTTACTGGGGTTATAACATAAAAGGGTTTGTATTTGGCATTGACCGTAGGCTCAGAAGTTGGTAAATATGAACAAAATTATGTCTTATGAGGATTCATGACCTATTCTGATCATATAAGTATGTTTCAAAGGCAATTAGAGTTAAGTGGCCTTGACCTGACTTTTTTAAATTAAGTTAGAAATTTAATGAGAATGACCTAACATAATATTAGATCATATGTAATCCACCATGTGCATGAGCTTCACTTAGCATTGATGTCCAACTTCATTATTGATAAATTAAACACATTTGTCTCAGTAGTGAATGGCCTATTCATGTTAAACATTTTAATTCAAACTAAATTACATGTTATTAAGAATAGAAGTTCTCAATACTTGCATCAGAGTTGATGTTAAGCCCTCTTTGACATTGAAATGGCAGTGATGGACATAAACTCAGCAGTATGTTACCTATGTTAGATCAGAACTATGAGCTTTGAATTTTGTGTATGCATCAATCATGTTACAATATTCTGAATATCAACATGCATTTTTACTGTGACCCTAATCTCTGAATTGATAAACATTTTGTAAAAGAATGCTTCTTTCTCAAGTCTTCATTAAATGAGAAGATATTTTAGGACTGATCAATTAGTATGGGCATCTAGGGATACAGACTTCCAGAAATATTTCATATGTATCTGACATATACTTTCTAGATGATGGATCAGGCTGAAGTTCTTGGTGCAGATCATTTCTAAATATAAGACCTACCTGCACCAAACTTGCACTCTATCATACTTGCTTTAGAAGCTGATCTGACCTACATTTTCTGGATGATTGAACAAATTCAAATTTTCGGAGTAGGTTTCCCAAGTAATTACAAGCCCTACTTTGATCAAACTTGCATGGCTTATGAATCTAGGGATGCACACCACACCTACATTTTCCTTACTCACACAAAGTCAGTATCAGGCCCCCAGAAGATCATTTGAATGTTTTGGTTCATTTCTGAATGTAGATAACTGTGAGATGTCTGAATTATAAGATCAGAGAACTCTAACACTTGTTCATATATCCGGACGATTTTGTTCGAGACAGAGGCGTCTGGAATAACAAGGCGCCACTGTATGTGGGCAAAATTTTAGATGGGCCAAAATAAGCACTTGTGCATCAATATGTCTTTATGGTATATTGTCAAAAATGAGGCACTGCATGTACTGAAAGTAAAAATTTGCATTGAGCATATTTTGGTTTGCGTAAACTATTACAAAAAGTGTTTTTGATTTTTTTGTAGATTGAGAGGAGAGTGTGTGGAGAAGTCACCAGCCGTAAAGCGAGCAGAGAAACTCGTCCACGACATTGCAGAGGTCAAGGACAGACTACAACAGGAAGTCTCTGTAAGTATGGTGATCAGCATCTGTTACTAAAATGTCAAGTTTTTACATGTCTAAAGAACAACAGTGCAAGAAAATGTATGTTACAGTTATTATAGTGAATTCTCCGAATTATGATTTTGTAATATACAGTCAAACCTTGTTATCTCGAACTCAATGGGAACAAGAAAAAACTTTGAGATATCCAAGGATTCAAGATATCAAGGGTAAAATTCTTAAAGAAAAAGTGGTTGGGACTTCCAAATCAATTCGACATATCCATGGTATTAAACAAACAGCAATGAAAGGAAAACAAATCGTAGTTTATGTAGTTTTAAAGTTCTTGGTTTTTCTTTTAACAGGATGTAAACATTTTCCTAACATTTTTTTGCATTTTTCAAGTCTAGGATGTGAACAATTCAGATTAAGGTGACCCTGTTATAATTTTATCTTTTTTTTCATATATCCTGTGTATGGATGCAATTCTAGAAAACATGTGATGTGATTAAATTAAACATTAAAAATCCAATTAACTATTGATCAATTAAAACAAGGAAACACCTAGTTTATTCAAATATTCAATTACGAACTGATTTATTGAGATGTGCTTCAATTGTCAGGTCATATTTGGTTAATATTTGATCTCATTTTCATCAAAGATATATCACAATATCATGCCCAGCCCCGTCAGTACAAATTATGTCAGATGCAAATACCATGTCGGAATACAAAACAGCACACTGCCTGGGGCAAGTTATTTTTGAAGCATAGATAAATGGAATTAATTTTAATGAAGTATCTTTTGTTGACAATTGACCAAGTTTCTTTATATATTTTGTGTCATTACCAGGGCTATAAAGTACATAAACTCAAATGGCAGTCACAGTAGGTCATTAAACGCAACATCCTCAAGGCAGACAACTCGAATTTTATTTACGAGGAGAGTTCAATAAATAATACAAAAGGTCATTATTTTTTTTTTTAAATCACTATCAATAACAAGGTTTGTTACTGACTGTACATAGAATTTATGGGTTGTGCAAGTCCATGGTAGGTGATGAGGAGAAGCTTTGAACAAACCATAATATTTCTATGGACAGTCAGTAACAAACCTTTAAGTTAGTAAAATAAGTGTTTTGTTTTGTTGAAGACCAATAATAGTTAACAAACCCACCAAGATCAATTAAAATTAAATGATTTTCTCATCTGTGCAAATGTCATTCACTCATACTTTTGTTGTTTACTGATTATGTCACTGAAAAGGGACACTACTCTTAATTTAATCCCTTTATTGAGTTAAAGTACCCATATTATTGGTCCTTTCAAGCCCCCCCCCCCCCCAACTTTCACCCTCAAAAAATAGTTGAGGTATCTTGCCTACTTTAAAAGGGTTTTTGCAAAAAACAGATGAAAAAGCAAGCATTTTTTGGTGATTTGGCTGTTCAAAAATGAACTAAATTACTTCTATATTTAGTATGCTAGATTGCATTGCATATTAAATGCCCCTCTGTGGAGAAATGGAAAATGTATTCTTTATGCAAGATATTTTTCTTTAACCGCATGCATCAATACATATGGTTAATAACATTGAAAAGGTGTCATTGTTTACTCTTGACATGTTTCCTGATTTTGGATGTTTTAATCTCATATTTCTTGAATTGTGAAGGATATATTTCTTTGTATGATTTCAAATATATATGTTGGTAAGATATTTTCTTGTGACCTTGACCTTCTATATGACCTTAACTTCACATTTCTGCACCACATTTTACAATGCAAGTACATGTTTTTTAGGAGGTCTGTATTGGGCTTTTATGTTCTGTGAACAAAGTCTCATCTTTTTATACCTTTCTTTTTTTTAAATTATAATGATTGTTTTATTTTAGGATGGAGAAAAAGTATTAAAAGAACAGGAGGAAAAAAAAGTGCAGGTTGTTCACATAAATTGTTTTTCAATAAATACACATTAAAAACACTCTTTATTTATGAGGGCAGCTAGTCTATAAAAAGTTGACCCTGATTTATTTTTGTACTTTTCCTTGTCAGAAATGTTTTCAAATGACATGGTTAGAATTTAATATCAGCTGACTTCGAGTTTCAACTATAGCATTAATCTGTGTCATTTAAATATGTATTGAAGAGCTTATAGGATGGTAATGTCTGTGTTCCCCCAATAATTAAAGAAGAAACAGATAGTAGATTTCACTCCCGTAAGGTCAATGCTCAGTATAGCTTTTGAAATGACGTAAGCAAATGGTATCTTATAAAGCCAATCTCAATTCAGGTGCTGGACAAATTAAAAAAAAAAGACCTCTTAAAGAAAAGCTTTTGATTCTAAAAATTCTTCCAGTCTCATACAAAAAAGCTTCTCTTTAGGTTAAAGTGATATTTAGAGAAGAAACTGATAATGAAATGACCATGAATAAAATGTTTTAGGAACACATTTTGTTTTCATATACAGAAAACCAACTATTATTCGCATCATCATTTATTCGCAATTCATCAGTTTGAAATCAATCCATAACAAGTAATTTTCGTGACTAATGAATCATCCTCTACAAAGTCAAAGCAAAATAAATGATTTGCGGCAATTAATATTCGCGAGTTGAAGTAGGTTGTGAAACTCTCAGATATTTCTTGCACGCAAGTAAAAGTTAGTTTACAGTATATTGATATCAAAACAGAATAAAACCCCTGTCATGATGAAATTAACAGCTGTTACAGATAATGCACTCAAACTCTCATGTGCTTCATTTTGTTATAATTTGTTAAATAATAGTGGAATCTTATACTGGTTTATATATCATTTTCTACATGTTCAGTTATTTATTTAGTTTTTACATTATGTAGATCTATACACAGTAAAAATGACAAGATATTAAATTGTGAAATATTTCTTAAAACTTCTTATTGTAGAACTCTCATTGATATTCTTTATAATTTAACTAGGATATGAAACATGATAAAATGAAGATGGAGCAACTTCATGGACCGTCCCCACTGGATCCTTACTTGGTATGTATTTAAGAAATAAGGGTCTAAGAGATGATAAGGACACTGGGAGATGTGATAGTATTTTGCATAAGTGGCTTTATGAAAGAATGCTTTCATGGTTATCCTCATAGACACCAAAAAAGAGATAATATATTTTTATTTCACAGTCAGTATAACCCTACCTGGTTCTAAGTATAGGTATAAATACAGGCACATGAATTAAAATTATATAATTGCCCTTCATCCCCACTCTTCCTGTTAAATGTATCCCTCCTCCTAATCAATAATAATTATTAGAATATACAACTTCAAAATGTTATACTTATTTAGACTATATCAATGTTTTATCTTCTGCAGTCTAAATGTTGTTTATTACCTAAAACAGCTGAAAATTGTCTATTTTTATTACTGAAGTGGGCTGTTCTATAGACTCCCTACAATATTTACACTCCATGATTTTACTCATAAAGCAATAAAAATGTCAACTGATTTTATTATTTTATGATCATAAAAATCAATATATGATACAAATGAATTTTAAAATAACTAAAGGATATTTTAAATCCAACAAAAGTTCAAATCATCTGCATTCCATAGACGACTTTCAAATTACCATAATACAAGAGTTATTTCCCTTCAATCTGGGGTCAAGCAGCAAAAAGTACTGTTTTCCCTCTATAGCATTACCAACTTTATGGGAAAATGTCTGGCAAATGAAAACCAAAGAAAAAATCTTTTCATAAATGTAGTGTACATTCAAGTTTGTTCAAATCATGGCCCTAGGAGCTTGGGTGGGACTATGTTCTGAAGAAAAGGAATGCCAAGGTGACTCAGGTGAGTGTTGTGACCCATGGGCCTCTTGTTAACAAGTCAGATTCAGCTAATTTTCATAAAAGCATAATATCATCAAATTTGATTCTTGTCACAGAATCACATAGCTATTTTTTTCCCTTTATGTACACGTATTTGAAAGTTATATAAGTAAAATAGGGTCATCATTCTCTGTCTGTAGAATATTCCTAGAATTAAAAGTCCTTTCCACCTACCACCCTCTAGACAAGGAAATAAAAAGTATGCCTTAGGTGAAACAGACACTATTGGTTTAACATGTTCTATTCTGGATTTGTGTGGGTAGCAGGCAAACAATTTGACTATTCCTGTATTATCTTTAGATGTAACACTAATGCTTGCTGCATTTTTCAGCATATATGCAGAATGATATTGATCAATCTAGTACGTAGGGATTCATTACACCCACATATACAGCAGTGATATTAGACTTTGTTAAAACAATCCAGGGCCAGGTGACAAGAGTGTTCATCAATAACACATTGTTGTGCATTGTTAAAATGTACAAAATAGAGTTAAAATATGTCATATTGATATGATAGCTTCCTCATGTAATACATAAAGATTCTAGAGTTTAATGTATTGAGGATTACTGGGATCAAGGGGAGACCACTGTTACATTTTACACAGGAATGTATAGATCCTCACAAGAACAAGGCTAATGCAAGTACTTTGTGAAAATATGCAAACATCAATACTTTTTCTTTAATTGTCTTGTTTTTGAAGTCTATGGGCAATAAGTTGATTGGAGCATAAGAAAACATATTGAATGAGCATGTACTGATGTTTGATAATCATGCTAAAGACCCCAAAACTAAACTTTTTTTTCTATTCACATTTTTGCAAAATGATGGAAGGTCCTTGATCATCCTTTTTCTTTTGTTATTGGGCAACATATCTTTATCAGTTATTTTGTTTTATTATTATATTCTTATTAAATTATGATTCTATGGATCTTTTAAAGGGTTGTATTATACTCAGGTGACTGTTAAGGCCTTTGGGCTTCTTGTTTTTAAAATTAATATAAGTAATCTGCCACTGCACCTCAACCTTTATCTTCCAGCAATAAGTCTTCAAACTGGATTGTACAGTGTTGTTTAAAATTCAAGGATGTCTTGTAGATCCATTAAAGTGTTTTAATGGTCATTAAACAGTATATAACCCTTTTCACGTAATTTTACTCAAATAGATCTATGAAACTTACATACCGTTAATATCTCATAAAAGGTGAATCAAAATGGAGATTAGGCTTTTAGCTTAATGAAAGTCATTTACATAAAGTATAATTCACTAGTACACTTCAGAATTTGGGAAATAATTTCCTGGATAAGGATAGGAAGCATTTAATTTGAGATAGGAGGTCTTTTTAATGCTCTGACTGATGCTATTTATGGTGTCTTATATTATGATAGTACTTTTTGATGTTATTAAGTACTGCTTAATTGTACAAAACATGAAGAATCATTAATATGATAAATAAAAATCTAACAACAATGTTTAATAGACTACTGATAAAAAATATATGATATAACAGAAGACACTCATATAACTATAAGTTCATATGACCTCAAAGAAGTAAAGGAGAGCATATTCTATACCCCCATTGTTGTCTCTGGTAAAAGTCCATTCCCTAGCAACTATATATAAGCCCAGTGGTGACCAAACCTGCATGGATGATGCATTCTGGGATGCTTACTACAAGTCATGCTTTGGATATTGCATCTGACCCTTTTTTTCTGGATGAATGGCCTTGGCCAGATGCAGGTCCATTCTTAAGTTAGTTACTGTCAGCCCTACCTTGACCATATTTGCATGAATGATGCAACAATGAATGCTACCTTGGTTGCTTCATGTCCTGCAACTGACACATTCTCTGCATAAATGGCTCTTGTCCATTACTTGGTAGCTGCTTATCTGGACCAAACTTGCTTGGATGATTCAACTAGAGCCAGTTGACTTAGGTGCCGCATTTTTAGTGACATGTATTTTCAGTTGTTTAATGATCATAAGGCCTGAAATGGTGAACAGTGTGTAATAACTTATTTCAATATTTACAATAACATGACTTGGACCTTCAGATTTATGATGCTATCATTAGCTATTATTAGAATGGTTTTATTAAAACTTCTTGGTTAACATCATTGCTAGCCAAGGGTTTCTGATACTCTCCTCACAAACCCGTGGCCTATGGTTCTGTCAAAGTCGGGACTGCATATTTACATCATGTGATCTAATGCACAGATTGCATCATTGACAGAAATAGAAAGCAGATTTAAAAATTAAAGTGTTTAGAGAATAACTAACGAGACGGGATCGAGCAATGTTTGTTATTTAGGGTGCAAATCTACATCTGCAATATAGATTTCTGATCAAATTATTTGCACATCAACTTAAGATTGGATGATGCCATAGCTATTTATAGAATGACATGTTATCTTACAGATCTTTGTTTACTAACTCAAGATGTATCTCGAAAGCATATATCATCATCTACAAAAAGAATTACGAAGAGCAATTGTTGATTTGTCGAAAGATATCAATCAACTCCAATCACAACTCGAGAAAAAAATTCCAACTTTTTTTTAACACCATAGGCCAAGGGTTTGTGAGGAGAGTAGCGGATCAGAAACCCTCAGCTAGCATTTTTAGGATGCTTGGTTAAATGCAGGATACACCATCAAAAATGTCCCTAGTTCTTTAACTGTGAAATAAAAACATAGATTTTCAGAATTTAAAAAGCAAGAGTTTTTCACAAAAATGCACACACAGAAGTCATGCTCAGAGCATACTAAGGGCTGGTCCACTGAGTAAACCGAGGTTAACATAAATCAATGTCCTGCCCATAATAGTAACTAATCAATGTTGTCAAAAATTTAAAGTGAACCAACAATGAGATATGACATACATACATGTATGATGTACATTAAATATTGCAGAATAAGTTAGTTGGGATATTTAACCAGGTGCATGTGGACCAACTGAAGTATTAAATCCTGAATTTACTGAACATAAATGATTGATACCGTAATTAATTAAAACTTTCTGGAGAACTAGAGTTGGGTCATACTACTGAAACATTTCTTCGAGATATATCTGTCAGTGAGTCATGAGAGGGAGTATGTATACTAATTTTGACAGGGTATAATGTTAATGCGGTTATATGAAAAAAGAATGCTCAATGACTAATAATATTGGAACATTATGATTTTTGAAAATTGAAAAGCAATTTTTTAAAATTTCCATGAATTTAAAGATGTAACTTCCTCTTGATTCTTAAAGGTTGGAAAGTATATCTGATTATATCATGGTGAAAACATCAATGAATATTGATTTTCTTATATAAGTTTTCATGCACCAGGTGCTGCAGGCTCCTATTAAACATAGTGATTGGATATATACTGATTTTTAACCTGCTTTTAAAACATTCAGATAATGTATTATTCTGCTATAAAAGGTCTGATTCCACTAGATGTTGACTGACATGTTTATTAGGAGATTAAACAGCATGGTGAAGCAGAAGATCGATTCTTTCTCTTTGCATTCATTTTTATGTAATTTGATTGGTTGTCATGTCCAGTTAGATTTTCTTTGTATATGTAAAATTTCTTTTCACTTCAGTCACTTTCCTCACTAATTATAGACACAGTTATTGAGTCGGAAATGATGGTTTTTATCAATGAACTGAATAATTTGGAAAGTAAGTTCAAGAGACTGATATTTCATTATCATCTTATCTGATAGTGAGGTGATGTGTTTTCAATTTCAACTGTTAAGACTATCAAATATCTGTGATCGTTTCTCTGGACTATTTTCCAATAACTTGGCATGATATCATGTTTCATTTACAAAACACGTACAGGCGAGATTCGTGCCTTTTTATACACAACCAATGTATAGAAACATGATTTTAATTTGATACATATACTGTATATACAATGTACCAGTACATGTAACTATTTATCTGGATTTTCTTCGTACATTATTCAAACAATCCTTTTCAAGTATACCTCTTAAGGCCAAGTACTTAAAATTATGAACATTTTAACAATATGTGTAATGAATAAGTGAACTTGTTTGTTGTTAAAGTGCTTTGCACAGTTATACAAACCAGAGGCTGCACCCAGAAAATGAGAACAGCATCGAAATTACACCTGGTCACGTGCCACGTGCCAAACACTACAGTAGCTGAGGAAGTTCTCTGTGGTTCTACCGCTTACATCTGGAGGAAGTCTGCATCAATGCAGGGAATCAAGTTGTCATTCATTCAGTGCAGGCATTATTAGAGGAAAAATATTACATCCTATTCATAACATTGTGTCTATTCACTCAGATGACATAATCTGCACAGGGTTTTGGTCTCCTTTCAGTGGTATAATTGTATCTTTAAAAAAAACAAAACAATGAAAGCTCTGTTTTTTTTGAAAAATATTTTTTGAGTGAATTTTCAAGCTCTTTGATCCAAATTCAGTTGTGCAGGCAAAATTTTTGCTCTACTGCTCAGAGACCAAAAGAGTTTATGTGATAGTAAGATGTCTGTCGTCTGAATGTCTGTCTGTAAATAATTTTTCAAGACACTACTCCTACAGTTTAGGTCCAATTTCAATAAGACTTGGTGCAGAAGTACACTTATACTAAAGATACATAATTCTACAGTTTTGGTCAGATGTAAGTAAGACTTGATTATAACACAATTATACTATATTAAGATACATAATTCTCTTTTTTACTGTTTTTTATTTCTACAAATGGTGTTGCCATGGTTACTACCCTACTCCTCTTACAGTTCTGGTCCAATTTCAAGAAGACTTGGTGCACTGGCACACTATACAAAGATACATAATTTTTATGATGGATTTTGATTTTTACAACCAGTGTTGCCATGGTTTCTAAAAATTAATCTCTCTGAAATCCTTTTAAAAATGCTGCAGTTTTTGTCCAATTTCAGTAAGACTTGGTACACAAGCAGACTACACTAAGATGCATAATTCAATTTTGCCAAATATAAAAATTTAAATTTCTGTAAAATTCTTTCAAATGCTACTCCTACATTTTCAGTCAGATTTCAGTAAGACTTGGTACACAAGTAGGCTATACTAAGATACATGTACACCAAGTACTCGCAAGTACTCACTAGTAGAGCTACAGTCTCATCAGAGACCTGGTTACCTAATCCACCTAGAATGTTGCATTCAAAGAAGATCTGACACATGATGTTTTTTTACTTTTAAAATACATTCAGAAAATTTATTTCCTTTTAATGAAAAATGGTGTGAATTTTTCAGTATTAAATGACAGAAGGTCATTATCATTTTATGATGTCATGGTCATGAATATATTTTCTTAAGACTGCATTTCTGAATTGAAGTGACTTTGGATGATATCCTATCATAAAGTCCCCCCCCCCCCCCCCCAAATGATGAACTTTTTTAAACACTCATCTTTCTTTCCATAATGTAATCCACAAATCTAAGGTTTCGCATTACTTTACATATAATACTAAGTTGTAATTGGTTTGTTTAGAACCCTTTATTTTTACATGGAGTGGCCTAATATTTGTTTTATATTATGTTGGGTTTATATCCACAGCTGGCTTGTGAATAATCTTACTTTTACAACTAAAAATTCCTTTTTGATAGCTACCCCCACAGAAGGAACTGAGGAGTCCATACAAGTCCATGCCAGGCCCTGGTAAACATGAGGTACCGGTCCCTTCTAGTTACTGGGATGCTGCCCAGATCCTCCAGCAAGTGAAGGAGAACAGAGTCACATTGGAGGCCAATCTGGAGGCTGTGTTTAGGACAAGGCAGGAGGCCGAGGTCTATGCCTTGATGGAGAATCTTTACCAAGAGGGGTATGAGCACTGAAACTTCTTATTACCTCAACAGGAATTGCCAGGAAATCTTCTGTAGCTGTAACATAGCTACATGCAGCTTTTCATTACTCATAGCAGGAAACCTTTTCTAGCTGTAACATAACTAGCTTTTCATTAGCCATAGCAAGCAACATTCTGTAGCTGTAACCTAGCTAGCTTTTCATTACCCATAGCGGAAACCTTCTGTAGCTGTAACATAGCTAGTTTTTCATTACTCATAGCAGGAAAGCTTCTGTAGCTGTAGCATAGCTATCTTTTCATTACCCATAGCAGGAAACCTTCTGTAACTGTAACATAGCTAGCTTTTCATTACTCATAGCAGGAAAGCTTCTGTAGCTGTAGCATAGCTATCTTTTCATTACCCATAGCAGGAAACCTTCTTTAGCTGTAACATAGCTAGCTTTTCATTACCCATAGCAGGAAACCTTCTGTAACAGCAACATAGCCAGTGATTGATTCATTATTTTCTTCAAAAGATTTCTTTCAACCAAATACATTGTACACTGTATTTGCATTAGATATTTAAGAGTTCTTCAGTATGGTAACATCCAATACATAATAAATCAGTCAGGATTCACGTACTGTAAACCAACTTTTATTGTGTGCGAGAAATATCAACAAGTTTCGCAACCTACTTAAACTCGCGAATATTAATCGCTGTGAACCAAATATTTTGCTATGTATTTGTAAAGAATGTTTCCTCAGTCGCAAAAATTAATTGTCACGGATTGATTTCAAACTGATGAATCGCAAATAAAAGATGACGCGAGTAATAGTTGGTTTACAGTATTTTTTTTAATTATAATTCAAATGTGAATTCTGATTTATTATTGCAGTATATAAGGCATTGTTTTGCACAGGGGGCCAGAGTTTGAATAAATTAATTTATAGGCATTTTATATAAGCAGTTGATTGTTATTGACATGTGTACACCTTCAAGGAAAAATTAGAAAGATCAGTTTAATATATATTTAAAATGTGTTGATGACACCTGTCAAGTCAGTTTCTTCAAGTTGTTTTTAATCAATATATAGATAATAATATCCTATTTTGTCAGCTTTAGAACATTCACTTGATCAAAATGATTCAATAATAGTAAGCGATGGAGTTAATGTTCTTGAGGTACTAGACCTCAATTTTGTTTTTGTTTTTTTTTTTGAGAAAAAAAAAATCCAGTAAATGATTATGCGATTCTAAATAAACATCGCTTTTATTTAAGTAGCAATCATTGTTTTCAATTTTTCTTTCACCAAAGGAATAATGCAGATATGCTGAGAATCAGGAAAATGGTAGACAAAAAGATAGCTCTTCTGCATTCCCAGGTGGAGGTCTGTATATGATATGTACAGTTATATTTATTGTGAAGGTGATGAATCATAAGAAACTATGGTGTATCTGTATATCATCCAAATATGTGTATGTAAAATAACAACATTGCATAAAATGTTTTTATTTATAACTCTACATGTAATGTAAAGTTTTATTTTCAGCTTATCTGAAGGAACTCTATTTTTTGCTCTATATTTATCAGAGAGAAGTTACAGATGATGTGATTTTGGCTGAACTACAGAAAAAGGAAGCCCCAGTTCTGATCAAGCCCAACACCATTGGACAGCAAAAATCTGCCCCATACACCCAGAGGGCTACAGCAAGGGGCAGAGTGGGGGCAAAGATTGACACTGGGCTCAGCAAAATTAAGGGTCCTAGCTTTGGTCCACCACCCAGTAAGGTTGTGAAAGGGAAAGAAAATAAACCATCAACCACTACAATATTTAAACCACCCACTGCAAAGGTAATTTAAGGGAAAAGTTTTGCAAAGGTGTAAAATTAAGGGTACAGTAATATATATATATATAATCAGTTTCTTTCATTTTGAACATTGTATGTATTAAAAGGTCCTGAATGAGACATATATAGATGATTAATAATTAGCCACTGAGATTTGCTGATGGTGTCTGGGTCAGCCAATTATTGTCTTTCTACAGCTTTGAAAAAAAAAATGAGATCATTTAATTACAAAAAAATGAGTTATGACCTTAGAGCTAAATCTTGGTCACTGTAGGGGATTTATTTTTTGATTAATTGTTAGATAATGCCAGTATGATTCAGGTGAGCATTATGGTACACGGGGCTTTTCTTTAACAGCAGCCAAAGATAAGGTCTGTCTTTGAGGATGAGGAATACATGACTAAAGTTTATGGGAAAGCCTCTTATCAAAACAAGAGAACCACAGTCAAAGATCCATACCTACATTACCAGAATGTACCCAAACCAAAGCCAGACAGGCCTGCTGGGGCACCTGATATGTCCAGTAAGTTGTAAATAAGGACAAAAAGAGTTGGCTTAGAACTAGTGGCAACAAAGAAAATTTTAATTGAAACAACACTTCACAGATAGCAAAGGCCTTTTGAACAAGAATTAGTAAGCACAAGTTTTACATTGATAATATGAGGATGTTCATTGATACATATGTGGATTCTGATTATGGTTTTCATTGTTATTTTAAGCTGCTCATTTGGTCAAGTCATCTAAGACCCAGACTACCCCAGGGATAAAACAGTTTTACTTCAGTCCTACCCATGGTACATACATCCCTGTTACCTCAGCAGAGCATGGTATGTTTGTGGAAAAATTTTAAAATCAAACCTGACAGTAACATGTTCTATTTTTGAAAATTTTTGGATGTGACCACCATAATTCTATATTTTCTTTCCTCCTCATTTCATTATTTGGTATTATTGAAACTGCTTGAAGATTTTATGTAAGAAATATAACTGATAAATGCACACTTATGTTAATTTGAGTGACCAAATAAATTCTTTGTAATCAGCTCCCATACCAGGACAGTTGGTACCCATGGCAGTGCCCCTTGGTGGTCCTCGAATAGACAGTGGACTAACCTACTCTGCCCCACCTCCTCCTGGGCCCCTCACTACCTCTACCCCTGCCTCCCAGCCTCCAGTGTCAGCCCTGAAGAATGTTGCTGTCGTATCTGTTCCAGTAGTGGATGACCTTAGGAAGCCTCCAGAACCTGAACTTAGCAAACAGGTACGAAAAAAATTAATTTAAATGATTAATATACTCTCACTTTGAAAATGGGGGACCAGGTCATACTGTAAACGTATTACATTTAGTAGTTTTCGTAAAATCAAAAACATCACTAAATGTCTTATATATTATGTGTTTATATCTAGCACATACAGAGAGCACTAAATCAGATCTATGCTAACTTGTTGAAAAATTAATTTCTGTCAAATATTGTACATGCCAAATATATGCATTTACAGTATATAGTGTACATGTAATTCACATTAAGCCATTTGTCTCACTAGATCTGAATTGTGTGCCATTAATTAAAAACTTTCACTGAAAATTAATTATGGTTTAACTAAGTACAGATTGTAATGATAAAAGTTGAGCCAAATTGAAATTTTTACCCATTTTTTTTATGAAGTTAATATGAGAATCTCTTCTTACCTGTTCAGAACTAGCGGTAAGATTTTAAATTCCATGCTTTTAATCAAAAATGCCCACAGTAAAGTTATGATGTTTTAAATACAAGAGAAAAAATTACCTGTTTAAGATTTCGGATAATTCTTAGACAGTTAATACTGGTATTAGATTTCATACAGACCTTTCTGTCACAGCAACAATGATAAAATTAATGCAAAAATTAAAATGGAGTCATTGTTATTCACAAAGAAACTTAATGCATTTACATGTATATCCATTTGTATTTTATTTTTGGTACAGTAAGCTACTCTGTATGATGATTAGCAAATCGAAACAAAATATGCACATGTAATATAATTTCTATTTTAACAGGTTCTACCTAGTGTAGATATAGACACTGACATATCAGAAACTTCACCGATTCCAAAATCCCGCCCAAGATCTCCATCACCAGACAAACTCCGGTCCTTGTCCCCAGAGAAAGACAATGTGAGTCTGAGTCGAGCCTCCACACAACATGGGGAGGTACAGCTGAGGTCCCCCCAGAAGTCCCCCAGCAAAAGCAGGCTAGAGGTCACTTTCCACAGAGAGGAAGATGAGGTTTGAAGAACAATTATAGAGTTGTTAATTAGAGTTCAACCTGTTGATAGATTCTGTCATATTCATATGTTTTCCAAATCTTGTAATGTCCCTCTCAAAGGACTTTGGATGAATAAATTTTGATTATTTTTCTCACCCCTACTACAGCTGATAGTGTGCTTGCAAAACTGGAAATTGTGGGGAGGTTATAATTGATTTTAAATACATGTAATTACAAAGAGGTTGTTAGGGAATAGTAAGCATTAAATCAAAGTAGTTTGAATACTAAATAAAATATACAGATGCTGTGAGTAAGTTATTGACATACAAAATTGCTTTCAATATGAAATCTACATGACTGGGCATTTATTGGGTTTATGTATTTATTCAGAGAGATAAACAGTAGTATGACTAGTTTAAGATTTTGCTTGCTTAGAAAGTCAATTCTAGTTTGAATAGTTTACATTGTTACAGGTTAGTTGCCAGAAGATAAATTGATAGGTCATCTAACAATATCATTCAACATCCTAAATTTATTACATGCTTACTGATCACTACACTTATTGGTTACCTTTAATGGATTGAGAATTAATTCTTATAGGAGACCCTCACTGATGTTTCTGGAGACTTGAACCCAGAGGATGCTCCTGGCATTGCCCTGCCAGGGTACCACCCTCCCTCCCCACCCCCAATTGAGTCCAGACAACCTGTGTTCCCCCAGCAAAGGCTGTTGGATTACAATGCCCCAGTTGTGTCTGATGTTTTAGCAGAAGACATTCGAAGAAGGGATGATCTGGAGAAGAGGGCTGAAGAATGGTAAGTCAGAGTCTAAAGATGTAGCACTATACAATTATCGACTGTTTAGAAGGGAGCCATCACAAATTATCAGGTCTGAGTAGGGTTGTCACCCCAGGGGTGCTTGCATTAGAATTTATTGTTTACCATTCCCACATTTATAATTATTAAAATGTCTGAGTTATCTTGACATTTTATTGTCTTCTAAAGGGGAACAACACAGTTGTCACCCTGGTTGTGAGGTAGACATCAAGAATTGTCTTCCTTCACATGACAGCTCTAGAACGATCAGACTGACTGTATTGCTCTGAAGAAGAATAATAAATCTTTTCCTCAGAATTATTGCAGGAAATCAGGAGAATTTTTTCACATAAATTTATACAGTAAAACATGCTTACAGCAAACATGCTAATAACAAATCGACGCTTACAGCAAAGTGATTTTCATTCCCCGTAAGTTTGAAATATATTGTTAGCTATGGATATAACGAATTATGCTTATAACGAAGGAAAATCGTCCGTCCCTGGCACTTCGTTATAAGCATGTTTTACGGTAGGATTTAGGTTTTCTTCCAAAGAAGTAGGAAATACGGTATACAACATAAAATTGTTCAGCCAAATATATTTAATAATTATATCATGTAATTGATATATAAGCAGCATAGACTTTATAAGGATTTTACAAAGCAATATTGTTGTCATCAAATATGTACTTACATGTATTTACAGGCTCCAGCAGGAGTTGCTGGCAAAGATGATTTCTGAGCTCTGTCCAACTGAGGTGGAAGAGGAACCTCCTCCTGGTCTTCCACATTTTGTGGATGAGGACTCCATACAGAGTGAGGTGGAGGACAAGGAACAGTCTATGTTTGGTGAGTGACGGATTCTCATGCTTTCACCATGATATGCTATAACAAACGTGCAATTCTTTTTTTTAAAAAACTTAGCTGAGCCTGCAGAATTATTTTATTTTGCTGTTGTACAATGATGATGATGATACAGAATAAATGTAATTTTTCTTTTTTCCTTTGCCCAAATTTTAAAAGAATCATGAAATTTGAATGTTGAATTTCTTTCTAAAACTGTTCTTTAATAAGCCTTTCTTTGCAATGCTGCACCTTTACTTTTTTTTAATGTATCGGTAGTTGTATGATCTTAAGATTTGGAAATAGTTTGAATTCTGTTCCCACAGTGGAAAGGAACTATTGGGTAAAAACTTGAATTCAGAATTTTTATAAACTTGGCTGTGGGTGGGACCTATATATTATAGAAAAAAATAAAATAATACTTGAATTGGCATTGTATAGTGCAGAAAACTTTACAAAATGACTACCTGAAGCTCCCTAAGAGACAGTACAGTAAAGTTCAACATAAACTTTGTAAAAATGCATATGTTGTTTAAAGAGCTCTTTTTATTACCTGTTAGTGATGGACTCGATTGGCAGAGCTGGCATGCAGTTATTTGTGGACGTTGGTCAGCCAGTGAACACTGACCTTGTCAACAGTTTGATCCGCGAGGTCCTGGTGGAGAAAGTGGTCACCGCGTTGGGACAGCGACCATCGGATGAGAAGGAGACAGAACAGAGAGTCGTTCCCAAATTATCAGCCACTGTAGATGAGGACAAAATGGGAACCACAGAACCATCCCCAAGGGTAAGTACAAAGGTGATATCTGTCTTTGACAGAATTTGAAAATATCAGAACATTTTGTCCAAAAAAAACATTGCAAACTGTGAATATGAAAGGAATCCTTTATTTCTTAAACTTGATATAACAGTTTAAAGAATGTATGGTTCTGAATAACTAATATATTTGATTTTCTTAAAGCATTAACTTGTATATCAATAAACATTTTTGTATTAAAACCTGTTAATTAATGGATATTTTTCTATTTACAGGAGTATTTGTATAGCCCAGACCAGATAGAGACACCCCAGCCTACCCCAAAAGCCACCCCCATAGCCTCTCCAACCAGGGTTGTATCTCCTCCAGTAACACCAGAGCTCTCCCCTCTACCTTCCCCAAGGCGAGAGATGGTGAGAGTGGAACCACCCCCACAGCCTGTAAGACTTCCACCACAGCAAGAGGCCGAGTCAGAAATATCAGAATCTTTGGATCTCAGTGAAGAGCTCAGAATCCTGAGACGTACGTCAGCTATCAATAAAAAAAAACAATTCAGCTGTGTGCTGAATTTTAAACTGATTTTGATTTCATACTGAGATTACATTACAAAGAATATGAGTAGCAATGTCTGATTATTTGTTAAATGTAAGTCGTTGTTATGAATAACATATATGGCAGGATCGAAATGACATAAATCACAGAACATAGTGATGTATTTATTCTATTTTAATTCACAGAAAAATTGGTTGTCCCTGTGACTACTGAGTCAGTAGCAGAAGTGCATGAAATTGAGACCCCTGTACCAACCCCAATCCCTGAAGAGGAGCCCCCTCAAGAGATCAAGCCAATATCCCCTCCCCCACCCACTCCAAGACCCGTGGAATCTCCCCCTAAGGTAGGTAGAGCTCAGAGGTATTAAGAATGGGTGATATTGTTTAATTTTGTAGTACTGAAAGTGTTATAAACTTATGCTGTGTAAAATATTAGATCATTGAATTGATTTTATAACTTTACCATTCTAGGCTGTGGAACCTCCCCCTGTTGAGGTTAAGCAAGTGGAACCTCCCAAGATGGTCCAGGAGGAGACTGCTGTTAAGAAACCAGAGGAGGTTACTGAGGAGACAGATAAAACTCCACAGCCATGGGGAAACCCAGAGTCACCCCGTCCAGAGGAAAACCCAGAATACAGGGATGAAATGGAACCAGACCAACCAGCACCTATGTAAGTTGGCAAGATACTAAGATGTATATTCAATGAAGGTTGGTCAACATAGGGTTTGTTTGCTCTTGAAAAATAGTGCACACTTGCTTTTTCGGCTCTAAGATTTATGTAAGTTGGCAAGATACTAAGATGTATATTCAATGAAGGTTGGTAAAAATAGGGTTTGTTTGCTTTTGAAAAATAGTGCACACTTGCTTTTTCGGCTCTAAGATCAAAAGGAAGATTCATTTTGGTCTCTCCATCTGTCTTTCTCTTTGTGTGCAACTTTTAATCTTGTTAATGTTCATGTTCTTTCAGAAAGATCATTTAACGAAGGATTGAAAATTCTCATCTGGTCAATGCATTCATAATTGCATGCACAAATACCTCATGCATAGCAGGAAGTTAAGTTAGTCATGACCCTGACTTCAGGGCATTTTGACAAGGTCAAGGTCACATGAACTGGAAGTTGGTTCTGAATAATGTAGTAGAGAAACATTATTGAAGCTCATTTTTTGAGTCATGACAGTTGTTTTGAATACCAGTTGGAGAGTGTGTCATGACAATAAATCAAGGTCATTTGAAGGACACAGAAATTTATAACATAAAAATTTACTGAGACATTGGTTGGATTTTCAAACATCCATTGGTTTTAGTGTATCCTGTTAGGGCAAGTATAGGTTGGTCAAATATGTCCACATTGCAACTGGATATATGTTTCAGGGATATACATATTGTTAGAGAAGTTTTATAAACTTTTTAAATTGTCAGGCATTTAACTGTGAACGATAATGATATATAAGGATTTTCTGGGAACACCTATTTAGTTTGTGATGACCAAGATTTCTAATGATGTATAAAGGAAAATATCATTCATATTCCTTGGAAAAATTAAAAATAATTAAATATAATTATGTTTATACATGTATATGTTATAGGATTATGCAACCACCAGAGAGCAATGTAACTCAGGAGGACAGAAGATCTCCTTCTCCCAAGAGAAAAAAATCACCTGTCCGTCAGCCTAGCCCCGCCCCCTCACTTACAGAGAGCGTCTCGGAGTCATCAATCTCGGACACCATTAACCAGAGTGTGTCAGAGGGACAGTGGCTTCTTAACAAGAGCGAGGGAGAAGTGGCAGACTTTCCCATAGATGAAGGTAGGTTCTTGTAATGCTTATTTACTCTTCCCTCTGTAAGAGAAATTTTACATCCATTTCTGTTCTTACAATTTATATTTAAAACCATGCATATGCTCCTGCAATCCAAACTCCACCAAAGTCATGCACACTCGAATTAGACTCGGCCTCGTTAAAAGTGGGGGTTGTGACAATTTGGACTATTAGGATTTTCTTATATTGATAAAAAATTTGTGAAAAAGAATGGGGGGATATAAGTACACTGTACTATGTCCTCAACAAATGATTTTGCAATCGCTTTGATTTTAATTGATATCTATCATTACAGTAACAAGACAGCGGGCCTTAGAGAAAGCTTTGAGGCTGAGAGCTGAACAGAGTATGGCAAGCACACTCAAAGATACCTCAGAAATTCCTGTGAGTATGGGAACATGGTTTTCATATCTGAATTCAACTATTCATTTTTCTTTTTGTGTTTAAAATGAACAGGTAAAGGATCATCATACACAGGGTTGTACTTGCTTACTGCAAAATTTGAGATTATATTGAGTAGAAATTAATACATGTATTTTGTGAAATAGGATGAGTCGACAGAATTTCCCATTAGTGAGGGAGAATTCCAATACAACCCAGCCATTGCTCCAGAAAAGGACCCTGTACTTTTGTTACTGTCGAGACTACAGCATGGTCCTATCCACCCTGGACAGCTGGACATGACATCAGCACAGGTCTCGGATATACTGGACTACACAGGCACCAGCACTGGTAAGGGGACATTATCTAAATGTAGTGTATAAATGTGTACTATTTTTATTCATTCCATTATAAAATTATACTACCTACGAGTTTATCCATTCCTGTGTCTGTGGTAGTTAAAAGAGCAATGAAATAATTCTATTATTAACCTTTGATACTTGGACATTACCACCACAGTTTTTTACTTTAGATAAACAGTAACCTGTCTATTTATACATGTTAAGACTTTATCTACAACAGTACTGAGATTTTTTGTCAAATTTTTTCCCTTAAATTTCCTGCTGAACCACCATTGCATTTCATCTCAATTATTTTGTTTTATGAATAACTAACCACAGAAATATTTTGAATTCCTAAATCTACATGTAGGTGACCTCAGTATAAACCAGTTGAGGGCCTCAGTTGACAGGAGTATGGGAGAAGTCCGCCCAAAGAAGCACCGCAGACAACATGCCTCTCCTGAAAGGGATTATGGGAAATATGCCTCCCCAGAACGGGATTATGGGAAATATGACTACGGCAGACAATTGCGATCTCCGTCTCCTGACCAGACAGGAAGACAGTCTCCAAGTAGAGGAAGAGTGTCCCCTGGTTATCGTGAAACTTCTGGAAGAAAATCTCCCCACAGAGGACATGAATATGATGAGGGAGGTAGAAGATCTCCAAGCAAAGGAAGAGCATCTCCAGAGAGAGGGTATGGTGGCTATGAAAGAAGAGGAAGAGATTCCCCTCACAGAGATTGGCAACAAAGGGATCAGCGAGATGGGTGGTATTCCCCACAGAGAGACCAGCGAGATGGGCGGTATTCCCCACAGAGAGACCAGCGAGATGGGAGATATTCCCCACACAGAGACCAGCGAGATGGGAGATATTCCCCGCAGAGGGACCAACAGGGCAGGCGATCTCCTCTCAGATCTAGTTTAGAAAGTGGAAGAAAGTCTCCCATGAGAGTTTCATATGAAATGGGTGAGACTATCACCAAACATTGCATGTTTTTATAAGATTTTTTGTAAAAATGAAACAATATGTATAAAGCACCATTTTTAGGTGAAAACATCTACATTAACTATCATATGGTAGGTAATTATGGTAGAATGCTTATTTTGGATATGCTACAATTGAATCTAGATAAATCAATTTATTATCAAAAATAACAAGTTTTTAATAAATTTAGGATGATATTAAAACTCTGATTTCTTTCAATCATTAACTCATTTATAACATGGTATACATGTACTTTTTGACTTGAATCTGTAAAATTATCATTCACCAAAATAACTCTCTTCTATGATATTTTGAACAAGCTTAGTAATTGCACATGTATGTGCAAGAAAATTTTAAATTCTTCAGACAAAACAAAAATTTGAATAATAGACCAGGGGTGTGCAATTAAAAAAATCAAGTACTAGCCCACGGGCTAGTGGCAGCAATAAAGTTACTAGCCCCAAGTAAAAAGTTACTAGCCCAAATGTAGGTGGGAAAAGTAACAACTACGAAAAAATAAATTATTGTTGAATAAGTCAGGGGTTTAAGGTAATTCTTTTTAAAATTAAAGTTTTATTCTCACTAGTAAAATTGAATCATTTATAAATTAATAATTATGATAGAAAATAAAAATGAATTTAAATAAATTATTTTTCCCCTTTTCTCTGTGCATATTGCACTAGCTCATCTAAAACGAAGTGAAATCTTTTTTTTTTTAATCTTAAATTATTAAATACACTGGAAATATATTTTATGCACATGTAAATTACATAATACTTATCTTTTAGTTGATTGAGTGATCGTAAATAATAGATATCTGCCTTTATTTACCATAAACACATGAATGGAGGAAATTCGGATTAGGAAAAAAAACGATCGTTTTTGGAAGTAAATAAGTCAGGAAGTGCTGCAAAATGGATAAGATTATGGAGATTTACGAACAATAGGAGCATTCTGCCTGGAAATTTTTCATTGGTTGGGAATTTAATAGCAAAAAATAAGTGAAAATAACGGTAGTGATTTTCATTTATAACATTGGTATTTTTAATTTTTACTAGCCCAAGGGGCTACCTGCATGCAGAGAACAACTAGCCCGACCCCAAAAAATGGTAGCCCCGGGCGTCGGGCGATGCTAATTGCACACCCCTGAATAGATAACCTCTCCAGTACTTATGATAGTTTTCAAGATTGTAAAATTTGTCCCCCTTTCCATGTTTAGATTCTGAAGGCAGAGATGTTGAAAGATATATCGTGGAAACTACAACCACTACAACCAAGAAAACAACAAGGACCCCTCCTCATGGTACCCCCAGTAGAAGGACCCCCACCAGAACCATGACTCCAGGGGGTGTGTCCCTAGGAGGGAGCCTGACCAGTGGACGAAGGTCTCCAGGTAAAAGTCATTTTGGAAGAAAAATAGGCTGTTGAATGATAAAGTTAAAAAAGCAAACCACAGAATAGTGTAATGTGCCAAGAAAGATTTTCGTGTGAAACATATGAAACTCTTTTTGAAAATTTGATTGAAGCATTAAATAAAAATATCTCTTAACAGTGAAATCTGCCTTGAAGAAACCCCCACAAGCCACCAAGTCCCCAGGGTTACCAGATAAATCGGTCACCATGACAGGACCAAGGACATACCCACTGCCTGGGTCTGATGAACAGAGGGGCTCACAGAGTAAGATGTTTGATTATCACTGACACTATACACTGTATTTAGAGAGAAAGATTCTCAGTGTACGGAATGTGTACTTATTGAAGATATTTCCAAAATTTACAGCAAACATAGGTCAAGAACTGTACATAATCATGAATAAGTGCAGTCAGTATCTCTGTGTCATGTTCTTACTATTCACATGTATATTGCATCTTATTCTGGCAGTATTTATGTAATTCTGCACACATTGGATAACACCAATGGACATTATACAGAAATGTTTTTAAGCCATAACTATAAAAAAACTGAGTTGAATATTTTAACCATATTTCAATAACTTAAAAGTATACAAAAAAAATAAACAACACAGATAAGGGAGACCAATGAGTAACCTGTTTCTAATTATCAATTATTTGGTAGGTTTGAGTGACAAGGGAACTCGAGCCTTTACACCAGACCAAATGAACATGGAAGAATTGTTACAATCTGGGTATCTTTCCCAGACCTTCAGTCAGTCCTCCACTGGGAGAGTTCCCTCCCCTGAGCACCCCAAGAGACAGCTTAGTCCCACCCGTCTCAGCAAGGACAAGAAATCTCTAGGAATGACATACTCATTTGAATCTGAAGGAGGTGCTGCAGACTCATTCAGCGAATCGGAACTCCGACGACTCGCAGATTCTGATTCACTGAAGATGTCTGTGACCTTGCCCTCAATGGATGATTCTGAATTTCTCTAATTCTATTTTGTGTGTTTGGAATCTGAATTAATATTTATAAAAGTAAATTAGAATGCAAATTGCTTAATATATTCTGTTTTATGCTAGAGTCTCAATATTTTTTGTATATCCTGATTTATTATTTTACAAATTACAATGTACTTTATTTATTTGTACATTTTAGAAAGTTTACCTATATTTAATGCAGATAAATGTAATTATATCCGTATGAAAATTCAGATCTGATCAAATCACTCAGATTTCTGTGATGTGCGTAAATTATTATCCGTCCAGACTGTAGAGGTTTTTTTTGTGTTTTATGTTTTTTTTTTAATTGGTTAGATTCTTTTGTAGTGGTAAGAAATGTACATCATAATACATGTAATGTATTGCTGAATGTGATTAAGGAGGAAGCAACCATCAGTACACAACTGAACACAGTATCTCAAATTTTTATATTTAATAAAAGTGTGATTCTGACCAAATCATCAATTAGAATTTTAACTCTGAATATTTCAAAAATACAAATATCTTGTAGCTTTTCAACAGTACTTCCAGATATTGAAGTTTGCTTGTAATAGTATTTTAATTGTATTTAACTTGACTTATCATGTTATCAAGTTATTATGTGACCTTTTCCTGTTAAAGATTGAGCTATACATGTAGATGAAAGATACCCCAGTACAATTAGTAGTTATCTCATGTAAAGTTACTATCCTGTAGAACAGTGTACTAGTTGTTCTTTGGACCATTTATAATAAATATAAAACAATCTCTTAACAGACTATTTTTACGATATCTCTTCAACCTCATTTTGGAATATGTCTCATTATGTAAACCAGATTAGGTAACATATGAGTTGTGAGAAGATAGCCCTTCCCAAGCTGTTTATTAATTGGTAGAAGCAAATTAATGTCATTAGCAGCAAAGTATAGTTTGAACAACATTTTTAAGTTCAACACAACATGTTGATTTGACTCTACAAGACCTTTACACCTTGCCACTTGATGTTTTTGTCCACACATGGTACAATTGCTGTAAACAACCATGACCCTTGTTATAGATCTATACACTTGGACCTGTCCTTGATGTGTCATATTGTCTATGTATTCAAGTATAACAGGTGGGGGGCCCACAACTCTAAATACTAGTAGGGGCTGGTTATTGGGTAAACAAGTCTGACTGGCATTATAGCATACAAGTATAAACCTTCCTGGATTCAGTATACATTGTACATTAACCAAGGGAGGATGCCAAAAAAAATCATTGTAAAAAGCCATTGTACGTCCTCTTTCTCCTATAAAACTAAATTCTTCTCATAATTTAATCCCTCCAAAGTAGGAGTTTTGGAAACGGTGTACTTTGCTTCCTTTGGGCTGATGACGCTAAAAACCCACTGGCCTTAAGAAGGATTGGAAAAGTTGGATTGTTGGGCATATACATGTACTTGCCAAGGTATGTCACTGCAAAGCTCTCTGCACAACAGTGGATACCCCCTCCTCAAATCTTTTTAAAAAAAAAGGGGGGGTCCCTTCCGTCCTCACTCCTCTCTCTTTCCCTCTGCGATCACTGCAATATTCACTTTCCGTATGGTCACGCTGGAAAAGGCCACGAGTGTATTTTTCTGACCATGAAATGTCGGAGGGCAGTAGTACAACCTGGACACGTTCTTGTACTTGATAGTGCTATTGGCCATGGAAATACTTATCTTCAAGGCCGTGTGGTTTGCACAAATATTTAATGATAAATTGATAACTGCGTCTGTCTCTGTCTGGGTATAGATAAGGGTTTGTCAGTGTAGTCAGCATTTTTTAACCGATAAATGATTAACGAATTGGATGTTTAACAGTTCACTGACTACCCCATTACCTCCGATTACAAGTGTGCACAACAGAGTGACGGGGTACTTGGGGCAGTAAATTTACTGGTTCAGTAATTGCTAGTTTCCAGTTGCTCGTTATGTTATTGTCATAGTATAGTCTGTATTACTAATACACGGGTGGGTTTGAGGAGCTCACACCCCTGAATTTATGTAGCATTAAAAAAAACACTATTCCCCTTCTCCAAGCCCGTAGCAACGGGTTCAAAAGTGAGAGGGGGGTTAAACAAAAAAAAAACTCCGACAAGCAAAAAACAAACTAATTGACCGTCCACATCCTTGAATTTGCCAGTGCTCGACCTTACAGCAACAAAAAGTAGGAGGGCCAGCATCTAAAGGAAAATTTACTATAGCCATAGCAAAATACAAGTCTACAGTCTAAAATGACATGCAAAAATAAGATCAAGCCGTCTTTCCATGGGTTAAATTCTTTTTTCAGCGATAATAAAAGTAATAAAATGTTTATAATATGCTAACCCAAAGGGTCAGAATGAATACCAGGTTGTTAAATTCACTCGATTGATTAATATTTTATTTAACATTTAGGAGGTTCAACGTAATTTGTCCAGTGGACGTTTAGCTTTAACGTAATGCACCAAAATGCGCACAAGTGTGATTTGAGTATTTAACCAGCTTTATCATACACAAATCGAAAGCTCAGTATTTGTTCGTTTGTTTAAATACAAGTATTTTTTTGGCTCATATTTCAAGTACAGAGATCGCGATAGGGCACCAGTTATGCTAGTGGCACTATTAAAAGCATGACGTCAATACTTCCGTAACTATTGAACGCTATGAAATTGTAACATCATGCAGAAAAAGAGCCCCTCTCCTTCCCCCCCCCCCCCCGTGTTCTACGGGCCTGTTCTCACTTTGTGCCCTGGCACCTTGTAGCATTTAGCGTAGTCCGAAATATCTGACGTTTTCCAGCCTTTTTCACGATTTTGATAGCACGTAAAATATCAAAATCGTAAAAAAGCCAGGAAAACGTCAGATTTTTCGGACTACATTTAGCAACGAGCAACTAATATTTACCAAATAGCAGTGATTGAGCAACCAGCTATAAGCAACCGACAGTAAGTAAGGGACAGTACGAAAGCAATATTGATTCGGGATTTCCATTTAAGGATATACACAACGTACCTTACCTACTGATAATTTTTCAAGATATTCTTAATTTAAGATTATAGTGCCATCAGATGTTCGTAGAAAAAATAGCAGCGTGCATTACCAGGGGTTTTGAAAAGATATCAATTGATAAAAATTCTTGAATAATTCAAAGAAAAATTTACAAAAATTACTAAACATACATTCAAAATGTTTTGTTTATCCAAACTTGTTTTAGAAGAAGTGTATAATAGCATATATAGACATTAAAATGTAGCAAAGAGTTTCTTTTAGTGTTGGAACTCTTCAATTCCAGGGAAAAAGACAATAAAGTTCAAACCACGTTGCGTATGTCCTTAGCAACGTATTGTACATTCTTAGTATTTACTCAATTCGAAGACAGTGCATTCAATTCGATGTATACTAGGTTATTAATCTGCACTAACTAATTACTTGTTATGAAATCAATCGTTCGTGAAGTAGTAAGCAGTAGGAGAGAAAATCTACCAATCAGAATACGATAATTATAATTAATTGACGTCGCTACTTTGGGAAATACAAAGTTTACATCTACGCAATAAAAGAGGCGGAAACTGTGATATTTGTCTGTGTTTATCTCTACCAATAAAACAATTCACTTATTCATTATATTCTGGTAATCCCGAAGTCTATTCCCTTGCAAATAAGACAAAACAGCGCGAAAATTGCGATACTAATAGTTCCACCTAATGGAACATCAAATCACGTGCCTACGTAAAATGTGAAAAACTACATATATATTTCTACATTCTCTGAAAAGACAACTTTATAAACTCAAGTGAATATTAAGTCACAGAGCTTGCTCCTGGTGTGTGAAAAATATTCAGTAAAACAAAATATGTACGAACTACTAAAACAACACGTTTTAGTAGTTCGTATATATATTTTTTAATAAATACTCTTTACACACCCGGAGCAAGACCCTATGATTAAGTCAAGAAACCGATAACTTATAATCTAGCTTAGTTTCAGCATCAAAATAAGTACGTTTTAAAAACGGGCTTAAATGTGCACGATTCAAGGGCTGATTTTTTTTTTAATTCCCACTTCTTTCAAATAGTCGGGGGGAAAATATTATAATCATGTCTTTTGTGATGCCCATTATATCTGATCAACCCCTAGTTCACCAAACGAACACTCCAGAAACTGAATGCACAATGTTCAAGTGAGAGGCCTTTTAAATTTGACTTTTATATTATTTATATTGAAAATTGGACCTGCGTTTTAGTTGCTGCTTATCTCTCAAAAGAGCGCACACCAGACCAAATATTGTGAAAGGGCTTCTTTTTTTCTTAAACTCACTCGTGACTGTGTAATTTGTGAAGCACAGATACTCTTTGTGTAATATAAGCAATTATTGTGAGCTAATTGATGAAGATCCATCCAGTTTAAAAATTATATTTTTCAACAAACTTTATTTTCATTTCAGTATTGTTAAGTAAGTTTCTTTCCAAATACTCAGGAATTTGGTAAGAAATATAGACAGAATTTAGATATTAAAATATCTTTCAAAAGTTTTTAGTTTTGCCAACTACCGTATATATACCTACAAGTACATATTTTTTTTTTAAGTTAACCTTTCAACTTTACAGTGACAGACACGTAATTAAATTAAGGTTCATTGACCCTCTGATATGAGAGATAACTCACACTAAGATAAGTCGATATTATTCCATTTATAAAACTGTCCAGTTTAAAACTGCAAGATACTAGTATGCTGAAATTTCTAACTCTAATTACGGAAGAATAATATTGCTAATACATGGGTGGGTTTGAGGAGCCCACTCTCGTGAAATTTTCTGTGGGCAATGGATATAAATCATGAGACAAATAAGTGGGAGGGGGGGTTAAAGATTTATTTTTACTTTAACGTAGAATTAAAAACACTATCCCCCTTCTCCAGGCCCGTAGCAACGGATTCAAAAAGTGCAGGGGTGGGGGCTTACCAAAAAAAAAAACTCTGATGACAAGCTAAAATACAAGAAAAACAAAGAAAAGAGTAATTAATCGTCCACATCCTTGAATTGGCCAGTGCTCGACCTTACAGCAACAAGCATCTATAAAGGAAAATTTACTATAGCCGTAGCAAAGTCTAAAACGACCTGCAAAATAAGATCAAGCCGTCTTTCCATGGGTTAAATTCTAATTCTTTTTTTCAGCGATAACAAAATTAATAAAATGTTTATAATATGCTAATCCAATGGGTCAAAAAGAAAGTCAGGTTGATAAATTCACTCGATTAATCAATATTTTACGAAACATTTAGGACGATCAATGTAATTTGTCCATGCAGTGGAATTTGAATATTAACCAGCTTTATCATACACAAATCGAAAGCGCTATTACAAGTAGTTTTTTTTATTTTGATTTTTTAAAATCATATTTCAAAGTAAAGAGATCGCGATAGGGCACCAGTTCTGCTAGTAGCACTATAAGAAGCATGACGTCAATACTTCCGTGACGCTATGAAATTGTAACATCACGCATAACGTCAATACTCAGAAAAAGTGCCCCCCCCCCCCCACGCGTTAAACGGGCCTTTTCTCACTTTGTGCCCTGGCCCCTCGTAGCATTTAGCAATGAGCGCTAATATTTACCAAATAGCAGTGATTGAGCAACCA